TTTTCTTTTCTAGATTATGTGGTAAAAAAATAAAAAATGATTGTGGAAATCTCTGATACTCTCTAGCTGCATTGAAGGTGACCGCTGTGTAAAGGCCCCACAGAGTACTAATTAAAATACAGCTTTCTCCTTGAAATGTAATTTGATCCATTCCTTTGCTGTTCTGATAAGGCTAATATTTGTCTCTAGCCTGTTTTTAGGGATTTGAAGTGATACCATCATCTCTGAAGGTTACTAAATAATAGAATTATGACTCTATTCTCCTCTCTCCTATCCCATTTTTCATATGCTGAAAAAGATATTTTGCATACAGTGACAAGTATCCGATTTTCTTGTGTGAAATTTTATAACAGGTATAGAATTTGGGCGAGCAGTCATGTTACAGAAATGTACTTGAAAAATCATTGTTATTAATATTTCTATTGTGAGGAAGCCATCATAATTCTACTCCTTGATACTTGACCTTTTTTGCTATTTTTTTCCCTTGGTAATACTACATTTTAATAGTTTCAGGTTTGCTTGTTTTTTCAATTACTACTGGAATCTTAAGATTTCCTATTCAAGTTGATAGTGAAAAGAGGCTCATATAGTCTTTCAGGCATTTTCATTTGTCTTTCAGCAGGAACGAATAGACAGCCATACACCTTTTGTGTGTTTGCCTTTCTTCTCATATGTCTCTAAATGTCAAAATGGTCCATAGATAAACTCAATATTCAAATCTTGCCACCCAACTGGAATTCTTTCATTAACAGAGACGCAAATTATGTCTTTAGCCTGTTTTTGGAAGAGGCTTCTGAGTAGGCAGGAAACCCTATACCATTTCAGACAAATGGTTGTCCAGACTCTTCTTAAAAACATTAAAAAGCATTCACAACTTCTGGAAGCAGGTTGTTCCACTGATTAATTGTTCTAACCTCCAGTCCTCTGATCATCTTTGTTGCTCTTCTCTGTACTCTTTCTGGAGTCCCAACATCTTTTTTACATCATGGTGACCAAAACTGGATGCAGTATTCCAAGTGTGGCCTTGCCGAGGCGTTATAAAGTGGTATTAATGCTTTATGTGATCTTGATTCTATCCCTCTGTTAATGCAGCTTAGGACTGTGTTGGCTTTTTTGGCAGCTGCAGCACACTGCTGGCTCATATTTAAGTGATTGTCCACTAGGACTCCGAGATCCCTCTCACAGTTACTACGATTGAGCAACTCATTGTCCTTTGATGGCTGAAAGGAAATTTATGCAGAAAGAATTTTCTCAAACCTGCAGTTTATAGCTGGGCCTTTTCAGATTTTTGCTCCAGCTGGCATTGACCATTCTGATGGCGGAAGGTGGTGCTGCCTTGTATTTAGAAAAAGTATATTTGGATATATCTAAAAGGTAAAACTGGAAACATCTCCATGCAACACACATTCACCATCACTGAACTAAAACCCTTTCCCTAAACTTCAAACAGAGAATTGAAAGATGCAAGGTATTATCATTACAGTACATTTTACATCAATGTCTGCTCCTCTTGCAGTTGTTTGGGATTTTTGATATAGATGTTCTCAATGTTTGCACTCTCCATAGTTTTCACTGAAACTATGGTAGACAGATATTTCTAATCTAACTTTTTAACCCTTCCAATCTTCCATTTTCTGGTAAAAGCAAGGTGGATTTTCTACCAAATTCATATTTAATTTGTCCTGCAAAGCTAATCTGAATTGTCCAATAAAAGAAAACAAATTTACAATGAGAAATGAGAATGCCAGTGAGAAGATAGAAGTTTCCCCTTACATTGTCCACATGACTTTGCTTATGATTTTTGGGACAGAAAAATCCAAAAAGAATTCATGTTTTGTTCAGCCCAGACCTTAAGACCTGGGTCTGTGTGGAAAATTTGGGTTTGGAAAGTTTGGGTTCAGAACTGAGAAAAGTACATTTATTTTATAATGGTCAAAGGCAAATAAAGGAAGTTCAGTCAGTTTTGGAGAGATTTGCTTTGTCTTGAATAATCAGTTATATATCTCCATAAGAAGTCTGTGTCAGTAGTTACTGCTAGAGGTTCTCCTCTCTGTAACAGATTTTTCCATACTGGCTTCAGCTGATCATCCAGCAGTAACCTTGACTAGAGATAGCCTAACTGCAGCAATAATTTTGAATTGCTATGATGTAATTTTTAACAGGACTACTCTTGCAGAGTCTTTGGGGAATACAATATGTGGCAGAGAGAGTTCAAATGGGAACGGGTATTATGAATATATGATCAAATTATAGTTACATTATGTAATTATATAATGTGGTCTGTTTTATTTATGCATTTTTTTCTGATTTTTTGGGAAAGAGGGAGGAGTTTATCCTATAAAGCTCTGCATACTCCATACCAATTGGAATGCCTTCTTTAATCAGTAATTGCTCAGATATATTTCCATAATAAGACTTGGAGAGTGGTGAAAGGTGGGAAAGAATTTGACTACTTGAAGCTACTCTTCCACTCATAAGAACTCTAATGCACTACCCAGAATGTATCTACTTTCTGAAAGATATTGGGATCCGCCCAGAACCACTTAAAATTTATTTATTCATTTTCATTTATTTTTCATATTTCCAAAATGCCAGACCCATGTAATTCTCTCTAAATATTTGTGCCTTTTTTTTAAAAAAAAAAAAAAACACTATGAGCTCTGTGAGCATCATTGATTTTTTTTTCTTGATAGCCTTTGCCCAACAGTACAGAGTCCACATTAGTTGCAATACGAACCAAATGACCAGTTTGTCACCTGAATCTGATATAGTGGGCTGGAGAGAGAAAGTCAACCAGCGGATTTTCATCCCTACGGTCAAAATAAAACTCAGTCTCCTGGTTTCTAACCTGGTACTTTAACTGCTTGACCAGACTGGCTTTCATCAAACACACCCATATACAATAATAATGTACAAAATAAAAAGAGTGGAAACCTCTGGGCAAGATCCTATACACATTATTAAGTCAATGTGGATGAATTTACCTTCTAATTCTCTTCAGACCTGTATTTTAATCCAGTTTGATATAGGTGTATAGATTCATTGATAAAAAAGTATTATCTATGTGTGAAGTATGTAAATATACAAAAACAATTCTGTTGAATCAATTAGATGACTTAATTTGACTTACTGATTTGATTTAGAAAACCAACTTAGTTTAAAATGTAAAAGCAAATTGCCTTTTAATTTAAGTGTCAAAGCAATAATAGCCTGGAAGTTCTTTGAAGTGTTTCATTAATCGGAACCATGACATTAAGTTTTAGAAAGTTGTATGGTCCTATTAAACTAGCTAATAATTCATTTTTAAAAGTGTACAATTAATGTAATTTAAAACATTCTCATACTATTGACTTTTCTTTATTCTATTTTAATGTATTCTTACATGTAAATATTTTCACAAAACAAATTCCAATTGCCTCCAGCTGTAAATTTGCAAGATAGTACATATTATTGATCATATATTATGATAATTTATACAGACCACTTGCCATTAGATTTGGGTAGGCTAGGAGTTTAACTTTAACTAGGCTAGTTTCGACTGGTGAAGTGAAGGAATTTAATACAGATACTCCTCACTTACTACTGCAATTGAGCCCAAAATTTCTGTTGCTAAGTAAGACAGTTGTTAAGTCCGTCTTGCCCCTTTTACAACCTTTCTTGCCACAGCTGTTAAGTGAATCATTGCAGTTGTTAAATTAGTAACATGGTTAAGTGAAGCTGGCGTCCCCATTGACTTTGGTTGTCAGAAGGTTGCAAAAGGTGATCACATGACCCCGGGACATGGCAATCCTCATAAATATGAGTCAGTTGCCAAGCGTCTGAATTTTGATCATGTGATCATAAGGATACTGCAATTGTCGTAAGTGTGAAAATCAGTAATAAGTCATTTTTTTTCAGTGCCATTGTAACTTTGAAGAGTCACAAAATAAACCGTTGCAAAGGACTACCTTTGCAAAATACGGGACAATACATGCCCACCACCTACTTCTGATTTTGGAGGATATGAAGCAGATTATGAATAAAAATTATATGTGGGTAAATAGAATTATGTGTGAAATGATAACATTTAGAGTATAGCAGTATAGAACCAAGATACTCAAAGGAAATTGCAAGCCCTTCAAATGTAGCTACCTACATGCTGATGAAAATTTAACATTATCTCTGGGACATGTCAAAGCTGATAGCCAACTATAACATTTTGCAGTTGTTTAAGGTTTTGAATACTTCTCAGTAGCAGCCTGTACAATCCGTGAGGTAGTCATCTTACATGGGGAAAAAGGAATTTGTGATAATGATCATATTACCTGCCTCCATGACAAGAAGCTGATGGTATGCCAGCCAACACTATGCAAATAAAGACAAGTCATTCTATAATATGAGTTTTGGACAAGGAAAAACCGAGAATGGAAATGCAATTGACAATAACAACAATAACAAAAGAAAGGTGAAGTTCTGTGTTGGCTGAGGTAATGAACTAGCATTCAGAATTGAGAAGAATATGAAGAAAAAAAATTGTCATTTTTTTAATGAGATCCTGTGCCTAAACCTGTTATAAGTTAGAGGTGGAGATGGTATTCACATACTTGAAATATGAAATATTTGTTTTAAAGGAGTGATAAATTACTTACCTTTTATTTTTATTCTTAACGTAATAGAGATTTCTCATGCTGTCTTTTATACATATATTGAACTTTTGTTGATTTCATGACTGACCTTTTGATTTGCCAGTATTTTTAAAAAAATAGCTCTGGGGAAATGCAAATCCTTTTGTGAAGGATTTTGTCATGACATCAAAACTTGGCACAAATATGAGTGTTAAGAAAACAAGCTGTTTGTTCTCTGGGGAAACTATTCTATAAGGTAGCTATGCTTTTTATATGCAGTTGCCTTGTAGATTAAGTGATTTAGTTTAGTTTGGCCTGAGGCAAAACGTTTCAGGATAATTTCAAAGATCCTGGTTTCTGACTTAACATTAGGAAAACGGGTTGCATTTTGCAGTCTCTGCTTTTTTATCAGTTGCCTTAGCTATTTCCATTGTACCTTGCACATTTAAAATACAACACTATTCATATATACCTAATCTATCTTTATTTGGTACTCAGCCAGATTTAGAATTTCATAAATGAATAATTACTATTTAACATATATAATGGAGATAGAGTGGTGGGGGTAGGGTGAATCCCAAAATATATTAGCACTACAACTATTTAAACACTTTGGTTCAGCTGAATGTCTTCTGAAGAGATGCTTAAGTTATCTTGCCTCATCTTGATATGAAGAAGCTTCTGTGGGAGAGAAACAGAATCACTATGAACCAGAGATTCATCCATCTAGATATGATGACTTTGAATTCTATCTGCTCCAGTCTGCTAGCCAATCATCAAAGGTCATGAAAATGTAAACCAGGAATTTCTGCTCAGCCATCATTCTCCCTCTCTAAAACAAGTGATGTGCTAAGATGGTTATGTGATCAAGATGGAGAAAAAGAATTAGGTGCTAGATAGATATTTATAGATATACATTGCTTGTTTCTCTTTAGGGAGAGAGAGAAAATAAATTTTCTATACGTCACAAATAATTACAATTTTGTTATGTGTTCAAACAAAAGATACTCTTTTTGCTTATGCTCTTAACCAAATGTCAAATAGTATAGATGCTGAGCAACTGTTAAAATGTTAAACATTGGCCTTAGACCAGGGACATCCAACCTGGGCCACTTTAAGACTTGTGGACTTCAACTCCCAGGATTCCTCAGCCAACTGGCTGGGTTATTTTGGGAGTTGAAGTCCACAGGTCTTAAAGTTGCCAATGTTGGACCCTGCTGTCTTAGATGAATACTTTTTCCATTTCTCTCTCTCCTTTTTCCATTTGTGTTGTTGATAATATTATATCTTAATACAGCTTGTTCTTATGTTGGTATTCCTGAAGTTGTTGGGCATGACTACCTTCTCAGGTTGCTAAATCCTAAGTATGGGCCACCAACTGTTTCTGGAGGGCAAAATGGATGCCATTGTACTCTACTAGCCCAAGGTGAATGTGATCTTTTCCTTTGTTTTCCTGCTCCATGCTAAAAGTGATGTTTTCTGGCTTTTGGAAGCTTAGGTCTCACTCTGCAGTTGACTGCTGCACTTTTCTTGTAGGCCAACATCTGTCCTTTAAATCCTCTGGCAGAATGCCCCCTCACCTCGGTTGGTAGTCACTTTCTGCAGCTCTCAAATCTCCTCATCTGCAGCTACTGTTGCCAACTATGTTCCAGTAGCATAGTTGTTTTAACTGGTGCTTGATGTGCCAAGTGTCAGTGGTTGGGAAAATATTTTCTTTCTTTCATTGAGCTACCCACTTTTCTGCTCTTCTGTTTTTTGTTTTTTTAATAAATCCACCACTGCGCCATTGAAATGCTAGAGCTTTTTTTTTCTTTTTCCAGATCAAATGTCAGGAAAAGCAATGAAATGATGCACCAGTGAACTTGTAAAAAAAATAAAGCAGTAGAATGACTATTGCAGGTAAAGAAATAGATAATTAAAAATATTTCTGCTGCATTTTAAACTGGGGGTATCATGCATATCTACCAAAAGTTATAACTACTATGCTACTGAGAGATGCAGTCCTGAAACAATAGTTACATTGCAGGTAGTCCTCACTTAGCAACCACATTTGGGAACAGCAATTATATCACTGCAATTATTAAGTGGAAAATTATATGATTGTGATGGATTTATGACATCACTGCACTTGCTAAGCAAAACATTATGTGACTACAACTTGCAATTTTACTTCCACATTTTTTCATTAACTTTGCGTGTCACAAGCTGGTTGGGAAAATGTGGATGGTGATTGTATGACCCCAGAACACTGTAGCAGTCATAAATACCAGTTGCAAAGCTCCTAAATTGTGATCACATGACCTTGGAATGTTGTGATGGTCGTAAATGTGAGGATTGGTTGCAAAATGAGGCAATCAATAATCGAGAACTACATGTATTGAGCCAAATCTTTAAAAATGCAACAAGGTGTTTTATTAAAAAGCTGGTTATGCACTCATATGTATGCATGATAGTGTGTTAACTTTGTCGATAGAAATGTATGTAACTTTGTTGTGTGTGTGTGTACATACACTTTTTTCTCTATCTCTCATGGTGATGTTTAATTTTGACAGCTAATTTTTGCTATTCTACAGTTGCTTTGCCATGAATTTCAACAAATTGTTGATTTATACCAATCACTGAAAATATAACTGGGAGAATGAATATGCATGTCCTTTTCATTTCTCATGTGATAGATCTGACTGTGGCTTTTGTTGAAAGAAAAGATGGTGATGCAAAAACAGCATCATTCTATTCTGTTTATAGAAATTGACCAGTTTTCCTGAATTGGTCCCTAAGCCTATAATTAGTTGATTTTGTCCAATTCTTGCTTACTTCAACAACAATAAAAGAATTTTTCATTGAATAATTTCCCATAATCCAGGGAACTCTCTTGCTGGTTAATGACTACTATAATGCTTTATCCTAGTATGCCCCACACTATACTTATTTCATTTGCCATTTTATTCATCTTTGGTAGAAAATTCCAATTTAAGTTTATACTCAAAATAAGATGATGTTATCCATAAACTTAGCCACTTCAGTATGTTTGTTCGTTTAATAACATTTATGTGACTGCCCAGGTAAAAAAAAGTCAGTGTACAAAAATTTACAAATATTAAGCAACACAATACATTAAAAACCAACCAAAACCATAAAATACTGACTACATTAAAATATTCTGCAACTCAACCATTGGAACTCCAATCATCTGTACCAAAGAGACTAGGGAACATGGTCAGGGGCAACCATTGTTGGGGGGCAGATTATTCTCAAAAGAGCGCCAGTAAGAAGGCATGAATCTGAGATCCCATACAGTGACATTTTTTCAGTGAGTAGACCTATTGGAGACAGGAGGGATAGACAGATACCCTAGGGAGCAGGTGGTCCTGCAAATAACCCAGTCTCGTGCCATGCAGAGCTTTATAGATTATTTATTATTAAATTTCTATGCCACCCCTTCTGCTAAAGCAAGTAGATGACTTATAGTCATATAATTAAAATATCATATGAAACATTAAAATGTTAAAATAATAAAGTAAACCATACAAGATACCATTCCCTTAATTGGGGTCCCAGGCCAGCTGGAGAGCTACGACTTCAAGTCCTTTTGAAAGGTCAGATAGGTATAGTGTTGGGAGATAATTAAGGCATAAATGGCCATGAATCACTCCATCCCCTGCCTAAAACAGGTACTGTTGGCACACCTGACGAAGTTATCCAAAGCTCTCCTGTACAGAACTGCTACATGCTCTTCCAGCAGGAGCTATGAATCCATGAAGACTCCTAAATTGCACACTAAATCCAAATTGGTCTGTGCCATCCTACTCAGAGACAAGGATGGAAATTCTCCAGTTCCGAGATCCTTGGGCCCCAAACCCACAGCCACTCAGTCTTGCAAGTGTTGATCCCAAGCATGGTCCTTCCCATCCAGACCCTCTAGTCTCCAGACACAGGGACAAAAAATTGATAGATGTACAATTAGATACCATCAGCATAATCAAGCTACTGCACCCTATGCTGATGGATGAACCTCTCCAATAGCTTTATACATACGTTAAAAAGAAGAGGAAAGATAGTAAACCTTTGTGGCACCTCTATACCATCTGAAACCAGCCCTGGAGGAAGGAGAACGACTGAAGAGCAGTACTCTACCCCAATCCAGTAAGCCAGTTCAAAAGAATACCATGGTTGAAAGTATTTTAAACTATCAAAAAGTCAAAGAGAACAGGAATGGATACATCCCATCCTGAACAGGTCATTCACAAAAGTGACTAATATTGTCTCAGGACTCTATCCCTGCTCCTTCTCACATGGATGCACTCACCATGGCATAGATGCATCCATATACTCTCTATCTAGAAAGCTCAGCCAACCAGGAGGTGCATGGATCTAAAACACAGGTTGCTGTACCCACAGAACCAACCACCTTCAAGGCTAACAGAATCAAACTCATCCCAGATGCTATCACAAAACCAAGCCCCTGCCACCTCTAGAGGACTAGCTCAGCTGAGTAACTCAGAGTGCCATCCCTAGCACAATCAAGTTTTCAATTGCTTTCTTGGAGTTAGATACCAAAACAAGTGGAGGTGGTATCATCAATGGGGGGGGGAGATATTTGGTGGGAGTTATATTGATTTTTATTGCTATACATCACCTATGTGTGAGTTGGGCGGCCATATAAATATATTTAATAAATAATAAAATCAACATACTGACTGCTATTATCTTCAGACTTTTAATCATACGATCTCTTTGTGTGATTCTCCCATTCCATGTTTGTATAAATATTAATCAGCCTGGAGGATAAGGGGGAGCCCTTAGGAATAACACAGAGGTACCTTTATGTGATGAACACCATCTTGTGGAAATATACCAGTAGGAAGATTAGATCATTTGAAAACAGTCCTCTCAAGACCAAAACCTCTTCTGTATGAATCATAGAGCTCTGGTGGCACAGATATTTACAAAATGTCAGTATGTGTTCCCATTAGTTCATATGTTTCATTACAGCACGGAAGGCAACTAAATTCAACAAATAAATAAAACTAAATATGTCTAGGTCTAGGACAGTGGTTCTCAACCTGTGGGTCAGGACCCCATTTGGGGCGAACGACCATTTTACAGGGGTTGTCAAACAACCCAGTCCGCCATTTTTCCCCCCTTTTCCTTAGCTGTGCTACTCCCTTTTATTCTATTGGCTTTTGAAAGCCAATAGAATAGACTCTCTTGAATAGAGTCTAATTCTATTGGCTTTCCAAAGCCAATAGGAATTGTCCAGGCTGTCTCTGCCCTGCTGAGCCCGCCAAAAGTCCCATTCTGCAAACAGTGCTGCAAGTTGTCTGCAGTGAAGGCGAGCTGTCTGGAAGCTTCCACCCCTCCCTGCTGAGCAACTACTAAAAATGTAAGTAAAAGAGGGCCAGGGAGGTGGGAGGCCGGCAGGCGCAGGGAGGGTTGCTGGCACGCGTGGGGCCCGGCGGGTGCCTTACCTCCCTTGGGCTGGGCCAGCTGGTGGCCCAGCCGGTGGTCGGCCTGTGCCGTCTCTGCCGCTTGCCAGCTACGCCTCAGCCGGCGCAGGGGGTGGCACCACGCATGCACGGCGCTCCCGGGCAGGGAAAGTCCTTGACTTACGACCGGTTGGGTAGTCCTCGGCTTATGACCGGTTGAGGGTCGCGGCATTAAAAAGGTTGAGAACCACTGGTCTAGGAGAACTATCTCCATTGCAACGACCAGTTTTCCTTTCAAAAGAAGGTGTTAAAAATTGATATGGCAGGCTTAGATACTGGAATACTTTCAAATGTACAGTTCTCCTCGAGCTTATAGGCTCCAAATGTTAAAGAAATAATAGCAATAAGCCTTGCTTTTGTTCAAAAGGATTGCTGAATAAGGTTTATAGTTTGATAAATGTCATACACTTGCAAACTACCTCTAATTTGTTAAATCATGTGACTATAGAATAATTTGATAAAGTGAGGATATTAGCATTATGTTTAAGCATACTCTGTCTATTAGGCACATGATTTTAATAATTTAATATTTCATAGAATAGAATAATTTGATAACATATGCAAGCAGTCCTCGACTTACAGCAGTTCATTTAGTGACTGTTCAAAGTTTCTACAGCACTGAAAAAAGTTACAGTTTTTCACACTTACAACCAGTGTAGCATCCCCATGGTCAAGTGATCAAAATTCAGATGTTTGGCAACTGATTCTTATTTATGGCATTTGCAGTGAGCCTGGGTCTCATGGTCACCTTTGTGACCTTCTGACAAGCAAAGTCAATGGGAAGACAAATTCACTTAACAACCATGTTACTAAATTAACAACAGTGATTCACTTGGTGGACTCAAGGTACCGAATTTGAAATTGTATTATGATGCTGTGGCCTTAACATTAATTAGTGATTGGGTTAATTTAACAAATGTAGAAATACTCCTCTTGGAGGGTTGGGATTTACTTTTTGGATGGCATGCCTATTTAATTTTTAATAAAAAAGTTGACTGGGTTTTTAAATCCCATATTATAAGGATTTCTTTACTTCGGGTTTGGAGGAAATATTACAGAAGTGATTCTAAAATACCATTATGGGCTATACCTTGGCATGCGATAGAGGGAATAAGGAGAGGAGTTAAGATGGATAGTGTTTCTTATGCACAATTGCTTAGATGGGATGGTAAAATTTGGCAGTTAAAATCTTTGGAAGATTTAGCACAAGAAAATATTATATATTCATGGTTTCAGTATAGACAAATAGCGGACAGATGGAAGATAGATCGTAATGTGGGCTTGCTTAGAGAAGATGAAAATTTTGTTAAACAAGTAAAAGATCAAAGACGAACTCATATTAAGAGAATTTATGGGTTGCTAGTAGAATTGGACTCAGAACCAGAATTAATTAAAGAATGTATGATTAAATGGGCACAAAATTTTGGTGAACCAGTTCTACTAGATACCTGGGAAATCATCTGGGTGAGAAATGTTAAATTTACACAAGCCCAGAACTTAAGGGAGAATTTTATAAAATGTTTTATAGATGGCACCTTGATCCACAAAAAATGTCTCGTATGTATCCCAACTTACAGCCCAAATGTTGGAGATGTGGTTGTTTGGATGCTACTTATTACCATATTTGGTGGTCGTGTAAAAATATAAAAGCCTTTTGGATTAAGATATGGTGGAATATTCAAAGAATTTTTAGAAGGAGGGTAAAATTTACACCACAATTGTTTTTGCTAGGTATTGTTACCGATTGTGATACTAAGGAGGTTATATTGATGTTAAATTTAATTACAGCCGCAAGGTTGTTAGTAGGGCAATACTGGAAGAAGGAATCTTTGCCTACTTTGCAAGAGTGTTTTTTTAAAGTATCCTATCTGGCGGAAATGGCAAAGATTTTGGCTTTTTTAAAGGATCAATCGCAAGAGAAGTTTTTTGTGGTATGGGAAAAATGGATAGATTTTATACAACATAAGTTGGATATACAAAAATATTACTTAGTTTATCAATAATTTATATACAAATTTTAATATTTTATAGATTGTATTATTTCTTTTTCTTTTTATATGTTTTATTATTATTTTACTTTCTTATATTTCTTTTCTTCTTTCTTTCTCTTTATTCTTCCTTTTTTTAAGTATTTTCTTTTTTTCTTTAATATTTATGTCTTTTTTATATATATATATATTATTGTTAATTATTCTATTAGTAGTTTAAGTAACGTATTTAGACTTATCTATGGTTTATATTTTTTTTTAAGAATTCAAGAAAATTTAATTAAGCCTATATTCAGCTCTGGGAAAGTTGAGGGAGGGAGTGGGACGGTTGGAGTGGGTTGGGGAGGGTTGTTTTTTCTTATTTTGTAAAATTTTAAAAATTTTCAATAAAAAAAAAAAGTGATTCACTTAACAGCTGTGGCAAGAAAGTTCGTAAAATGGGGGCAGAATTTACTTAACAATTGTTTCACTTAGCAACAGAAATTTTGAGCTCAACTTAAGTCATTAGTTGAGAATTACCTGTAATTATAAAGTGGGGATATTTGCATTATGTTTAAGCATATCCTGTCTAGTTAAACCCATGTTTTTAAATGCAAAGAACTATGTTTTGAGACTAAGTGATCTAAGGTGAGTCTAAGGGCAAACATTGGCAGTATTTTATAATATATACCCATCCTTTGTTCTGGAAATGCTGAAGTTCTATTAGAATAAATTATATTATCATTTACAGAAATCCTGAAACCATAAAACATATCTATATCTTTTAATTGTTTGATTTATGAGAAGTCATTTTGCTTAAGAATATACTAATATACCACTGGATGTTTTTAAAAAAACTTTTTCCAATATAATGTCTGAATCCAAATTCATAAAGAGTTAGAAAAATGAGATGTCTGAGCTATAGGATTCATAGGGATTTCCTATGAAGCCTATTTAATCAGGATAACACTGTTATTAATATTCATAGAGTCAGCTGGAACACAAATGATAGACTATGGAGCCTAAAAAATTACTTCGTGAATTTATTAAAAGCAGCTTAAAAAATTAATGGAATTCAAGTAAAGTTGGTGAATATGAAAATCTTATGTTAGCAGAAAAAGAATATTTTAAAAGAAACTTTCTTTTAATACCAACTTGCACTAATACTTTTGAGAGATTTTCATTAGTACTTAAAGGAGGAAGATGCATGAATGGTCATTTAAAAGGATTTAAAGACATTGGCACATTAATTTTCACATGAATAATAAGTAGTTTCCAAAAGCAATTAACTTACAGTGTACAAGATTTGAATAAGAAAATAAGACTATGACATTAAAGGGCAAAGCAAATGTGCTCTACATTTTAAAATTACTAATATGTCTTCTAATAAAATAATTTTATTCATCTCTTCAATGGAAGTGATCCAGATATAGATTTTTATCCAATCTGTTTGTTTATATTAGGTCACATAATGATTAACGAGATACCCTTATGTTGTTGCCAGAAGCATATCCATGAAGAGTATCCAAAACACAGCTTGACAGTTCAGAATTATGCCTCAAACTGGATATTATTATTAAAATAGCCATTTGGTTAAGTCTTCGTATTTGGAGAGTATATTTTTTATCATGTTTATGTCCTCATTTTATTTAAAATCTGTATTAGGCCACCAGCACAAAATAATACATGTTGTTTGAGAACGGTCTAACACTGATCTTTACTGTACTAAAGAAAGTTAGTGCTGAAGATTATTATACAGTTGGAACTACAAATTTGAGAATGATTAAAATTAAAACTTTTAAAACTGGTTCAACTCAAAATGAGTCACTCTCAAGTCACACTGAAGTCACATTACAGCATATTCTTTAAAAAAACTACTCAAAAGTAGAAAAACTACTCAAAAATAAATTTTGGTATTATTTAATCCCTTCTAAATTCATGCAGACTGAAATACTATACATACTTATCTGGGACCATCCTACTGAATTAAGGGGATGGACTTGAATAAGATGGAATGTTTTTCATGAGTAATGATGAGTCTATGTTGAATTCAATGAGTAGTAAGTACAACTAGAATTGGATTGGCTGGAATCTTGGGAATAAAACTTAATATGAATTTAAATAGGCAGCTAAAATTCATTCATGTCATGACGGCCTATTTCATTAGTTCAAACTTGAACAATTCCCTGCAATAAACATTTTTAAGTATTTATCAGTTACTTTAGTTAGTAAAACATTGATATAGATAGGGTGATGAAGATTAAGACTTAGGAGACTGTTTTACCTGTCAAAAACTATTAAAAACGCCGTGTTTTTTTCCAATGTACTCTGTTTCAAATATTACTTTGATACCTATTTAAAGAAATAAAATAATAGAATATATTTTAAAGAAATAAAATATCTGTTAATAAAATAAAAGTTAAAGCCAATTTACATTAACATATTTTGAAATTACCTGTTTGATTAGAAGAGGTTGTACTCTTTTTTTTATGTAAAGGCAGAATCTGTATATGTTTTGTAGCAGAATCTTTAGTCTCAAAGGTGCTTTTTGAAAAGGCAGGTGGACTGTTTTTTTCCATGAGGAAGAAGAAAAAAATGTTTCGCTTCTCATCCAAGAAGCTTCATCAGTTCTGATGGTGGGGGATTGAAGGATTATATTTCTTTGCAATCATCTGGTCGTTAGCATTCTCTGAGAGCTGTTGAGGCCACTTGGGAGTTTATCTGTGCCCTAATGATGATGATAATGACTGGATGACTACAAAGAAATACAATCCTTCCAATCCTCTTCGACTATCCTATCAGAAGCTATTCTTCCATTCTCCCATCATCCAGTCTTAACTCTCAGTACCTATCCTTCCATCCCCCCTCTGCCATCAGCACTGATGAATCTTCTTGGATGAGAATGGAAATGTTTTCTTCTTTTCCTCAAGGAAAAAAATCAGTCCAGTAGTTGAGACAACTATGACTTGGATGACTGAGAATCTCCACAGACCTGCCAAAGTAAATTTTGTACCATCTATAGCCACAGATAAGCTATACTGTAATAAAACATTATCTCAACTTTCTACCTGAAATGAATACTCAAGACATTTAAATGAATATTAAAGCATACACACACACACACACACACAGAGAGAGAGAGAGAGAGAGAGAGAGAGAGAGAGAGAGAGAGAGAGAGAGGTAAAAATGCTTAAAATAGTAGAATAAGAACATTGAGGTTAAAACCCTTTCTCCAAATCTGCCTTGAAATCCTGTGTCCACCAATTATTTGTAAGCTAGGTAATTCTTACTAGCAATTGATTATGGCAACCATACCTGGTGAGTATATTTATGTATGCAGTGAATGGCTTTCGTCCTCCAAGGTTCCACCATGTTGTCATCTTACTTTTGCATTTCTTTAGCTAAATGTGGCTGTTTTAATGGATATTCACAGTGTGTATCCAGGAGAGGGCAGTATTTTTCTATACCAGGTGTATAAAAGAGCATGCCCTGCTTAGACTGCCAATGTTTCTTGTAATTACTCCCAGTATATTTGTTGCTTGCTTATGAATTAACTTGCATTTATGGAACTAAACCATTCCAATCATTTAATTACACCTGAGGAGCTGAACTATAATTGCTTGCTTCCAAGTAGGATCTGATACGGCTTGAGCAGTATTAATTTGGTGTTTACTTTTCTGAGTGCTAAAAGCATTAAACTGATTGTGCAGTGGGATTACATTTTACTAATTGCCAGCATTCATTAGCTGGGTAAATGGTGATGAAGTATGACTGTATATTGTGAAGGGATAAAGCGGTGGTTTTAAATAGTATATTACTAGGCATATTAAGGCCCTGAGATGTATTTTAAAATACTCCAGAGATTATTAAAGACAGTAGTTTCTTCATCTCTTATGGTAAGAATACTTTATTAAAATGCTTCAATTATTATGGACCTTTTTGTGCAATAAGCAGAGAAATGGCTTCATTGAATTCAACACATTCCTTTGATATTAATAACATCTTTTCATATTTTGAGCTAATCCAAGAATAAATGAAGAATTTAGAAAAAATGCCAATTCCAAATCAACACAATGGTACAAAATTGAAAAAGGCAAAGTTATTGCTTCCTTTGAGGACTTGTCTCAGGAGCTCAGGTGTTCTAAATGAGGGAGTTTGTCCCCTCTGCTGTTAGAAGCAGAAGATACCCTCCATAAAGGCCTGCCTTGAAGTATTCTGAACTCTGAAACGAGGCCAGAATACTGAAGTCTATCGTTTGGGGAAAAAAAATTCTTTTAAATTTCATAAACATTTAGTATGTGCTCACTTTGCACATGCTGATATAATTGTACTTCATTTTCCGATCATGTCAGATATCTAAGTAATGAAATGTTGGCTTATTTTTACACTGGTGTTTCTTATAAAACAGTATTGTTTCCTTTGCTGGCATGGTGGCTTATATAATTTAATAAGGCTGTAAATAGAGAGCCATTGGGAGGAATTTCATGTCATGCATGTATCAGAAACATCTAGAGAAATCAGATGTGATCAAATTATGCAAACGTATTTACTACCAATATTGTGAAGCAACAGAAAAGTAACTCTCTTTGCTTCACTGGAACTGTTGATTCTGTTTTATAGTAACTGTTGTCAGGATTTTGTTTTGAGAATTAGTTCTCAGTGCTACCGTTGGATGCAATGGAAAGCAGAATAAATCACAATCTAACTGAACGTGTGAACAAAAAAATTATTTTATTGTGAAAGTCAATTTAATGTCACCTGTTAAAGTAAACAAGTTTTATTGTCCTACTATAAACATTTTTAGTCATTTGTCTTGTAAATTCTCTGACAAATAAGGGCAAGGTATAGGTGTGCTCTGATATATTGTTTTAAGTTTATTTACCTAAACTTGGCTTTAGTTTAGCTCTGAAGTCTTGGAGCAGTACACAAAGTCTTTGCCAGATCAAACAAGCTTAGCACTATAGTACAAGAGAAGGACAGGTGAAATGGTAAATGACTTGTGAGATATTGATACATAGCCCCAGGGGCAATGCTAATGTTCAGCATTGCCTGGAATGCATTTGTTCTTGCCGATACCTTTTAAAATAATAATGATGAAATTTTCTTATTTAATCTTAGAATGTAAGATTTGTGTTAGGTTAGGCAGATCCCAGGCTTATCTCATCCAAGATTCTATTCTTATAGTGATCACCTAGACGTCAGTGGAAAACCAAATCTACAAGGATGAAGTGGTACCCTTCTGCTCAGTTAGTGGAAATATTAGCTTGGAGAGATGTGAATAAATAATATATAGCAAACATGATTAGTGATTAGCCTTATCCTCCATTAATTTGTATAATCCCTTTTTAAACCATTCGGATCGATGGCTGTCATTAAAACTTCTAGTAATTTATTCTTGCAATGGGTAAAGTGATTTTTTAAACTCCTACCATTCAGCTTCATTGACTAATACCTTGGTTCTTCTGGACAACATAGTGTGTCCCTTCCAACTTTATTATTATTATTATTATTGATCATCGCACAGTCCGCCAGATGTTCAGACTGGATTTGGCATTTTGTCTACCTATCGAGTCCTTACCCAGGACCTGGGATAGGCAGATGTGGATGTTTGATGGTATTACAGATATCGTCGCAGGATGGAAGCAGTTCCTAATACGGCTGCCTTTTGCAATTGACTAATAGCGAATTTGTCAATGCCAATGGTGTTCAAGTGGTGCTCCAGTTGTTTTGGGATTGCACCCAAGGAGCCTATGACTATTGGTACTACCCTTGCTTGCTTTTGCACAGTCTTTCTATTTCTATTTGTAGGTCTTTGTATTTTGTTATCTTCTCCAGTTCTTTCTCTTCTATTCTGCTATCTCCAGGCACTGCCACGTCCACTATCCAGACTTTTTTGTCTTTCTTATCGACAATTGTTAAGTCTGGGGTGTTATGTTGCAGGTGCTTGTCTGTTTGAATTCTGAAGTCCCAGAGCAGTTTAATTTATCATTTTCTATGACTTTCTCTATTTTATGATCCCACCAGTTTTTGCTTACAGGCAAATGATATTTTTTGCAGATCTTCCAATGCACCATTGTTGCTCCTTTGTCATGCCGCTGCTTGTAATCAGTCTGTGCACTCTTCTTGCAACAGCTTACCAAGTGGTCCACTGTTTCTTCAGCTTCTTTGCATAGGCGGCACTTACTGTCTGTTGCTGTCTTCTCAATTTTGACTTTGTATGCATTTGTCCTTAAGCTTGGTCTTGTGCAGCCAGAATTAGTCCCTCGGTCTCTTTCTTCAATTTTCCTGCTCTTAGACATTGCCAGGTCTTGTTATTATCTGCTTTCCCAGCTATTTTTTTAATGTATTGGCCATGTAGTGCTTTGTCTTCCCATGCCTCTATTCTGTTCTTCATTTGGTCTTTCTTTATTATCATTATTATTATTATTATTATTATTATTATTATTATTATTATTATTATTATTATTATTATTATTGATCATTGCACAGTCAGCCAGATGTTCAGACTGGATTTGGCATTTTGTCTACCTATCGAGTCCTTACCCAGGACCTGGGATAGGCAGATATGGATGTTTGATGGTATTACAGATATCGTCGCAGGATGGAAGCAGTTCCTAGTAAGGCCGCCTTTTGCAATTGACTAATAGCGAATTTGTCAATGCCAATGGTGTTCAAGTGGTGCTCCAGTTGTTTTGGGATTGCACCCAGGAGCCTATTACTATTGGTACTACCCTTGCTTGCTTTTGCCACAGTCTTTCTATTTCTATTTGTAGGTCTTTGTATTTTGTTATCTTCTCCAGTTCTTTCTCTTCTATTCTGCTATCTCCAGGCACTGCCACATCCACTATCCAGACTTTTTTGTCTTTCTTATCGACAATTGTTAAGTCTGGGGTGTTATGTTGCAGTTGCTTGTCTGTTTGAATTCTGAAGTCCCAGAGCAGTTTAATTTTATCATTTCTATGACTTTCTCTATTTTATGATCCCACCAGTTTTTGCTTACAGGCAAATGATATTTTTTGCAGATCTTCCAATGCACCATTGTTGCTACTTTGTCATGCCGCTGCTTGTAGTCAGTCTGTTCAATCTTCTTGCAACAGCTTACCAGGTGGTCCACTGTTTCTTCAGCTTCTTTGCATAGGCGGCACTTACTGTCTGTTGCTGTCTTCTCAATTTTGACATTATTATTATTATTATTATTATTATTATTATTATTATTATTATTATTATTATTATTATACTAGCAGAGAATTTTGGAAGCTGTCCAGCACCCACTGAGGATATCAGTGGGGAAGAACAATTTATATGGAGCAAAGCAAAACGAAAATAACTACAAAGAAGTTGAAGCCATTTCAGTGCCTGTAATTTCCAGCTGTCAAATCAGAAAAAGACATTTTATTAATTATGTTTATTATAGTAAATATTTATAGTTGTAGATCATTAACATTGTGTGGAATAATTAAATATAATCAATATTTTACTTTAATATTATGAATTCTTTTTAAGGATTTATTTTTAAGGCATATAATATATGAATTGACATTATTAAAACAGAGTGGATTAGAAAGTTCTTATGATACTAAGTGATTCAACAACTGATGATAATGGAGAATGCTTTGGTAATCTTATTAATGTGAAATATACACACAGATCTCTTGTCTATATGCTAGTATAGTTTCTCTACTATCTGATTGATGTAGCTGTTTTATTTCAGAAGCTCATGGGATCAGCTGTGGAATCTGATGATACAGTACATGAATGGACACATAGAGTATTTGTATTACCGTACAATATTTTGTCAGAAACAAATGGCAGGATAATTCTCCCATTAAACCTGTTTTGAGAAATCTGTGGTTCAACAAAATACAGAGGTATCATGCAGTTCCCTTTTTCATCTAGCCATCTACAAATACTTATCCATTATTTCACATTTCAGAACCTCAGCAACCAGTTCAGCTTCTGTACCTTTAGGGGTCACTATATCCTAAGAAAGGTTAAAAAGGTTCAAAGAGGTCATTGGGAGCATATGTGTTTATACCTTAATTAATGCCTGCCAGGATACTATTATGTTTTGACTTGAACGTAGTGAGCCATATAATCTGTTGATCAGTGTGAATTTCCTAAATTTATCAGTTGCTGTTAAAAATATACTCTTACCATAATGACACTCATTCATTTGAACAACTAGTTGAACTGAGTTAAGCTTCATATTAATAAGAATTTCCATCTCTCATTTTAATACTTAGCTCTCTTTATGATTAACGATGTGCTTATAAAAATGTGCTTTTTTCCCTTGGGTTCTTTTGGAGGTTTAGGATTAATTCCATGGCTAGTAGGTTTTGTAACTGAAAATATCAAGGCAAACCCAAGTTTGGGGAGACTTACAGTGTTTTGTCCAGATTATTGATGCAAACTAACCTTAGC